AACAATATTAAGGAGGGGCAGTGTTCCATCAGCGAGTCACGTGACTACTGTGATGCAACGTTTCTAGAACTATCATGTACTTTGGCGAATGCTCTAGTGTTTGCTAGATGGGGTAGGCGGATATATATAAGAGGGGAAAACGTGACGCGGGGGATGTAGGTAATGTGTGTGTAGATAGTGAGTAATTGAACTGCAGTCACAGGGTATTGTTGAAGTTAACGTTTGTTCGTTACAGTGTTGTTTTAGCGCGGGTATTGAGATTAAGTGTATTGCAGAGTTATATTCTGAAAGAATAAACCAGTTTTATTAAGTAAAGACTTGTGTTGTTAAAGTTTCGTTGGAACGAAGTTACGGAAAAATCAATTAACAAACGGAGACGTAACAATATTATCAATCGTAGTGTAAAATAAAATATTAATTACAGAACTTTGTAAAATTAACTTATGTAAAGTAAATGAATAACTGTATTAAACTGTACATAATAGATATAAACTGAATTTTATTACTTTTTGTGAATAAAAGGGAGAAAAAATGGACACGATAACAAAAAAGGCAACTTTTATGACAAGTTTTAGCCTTTTCAAGACAAAAACAGATTTGCTCTCTCCAAAAACAGGAATCTACTCGAAAACCACCAAAACTGCATTAGCAACCAATCAGAAAACTGGATTACTAGAATCTCTGCTCCAAGTGGTAATTATAAGACAGTCATCTATACATCATAAAACAGGATTTAATAAAACCAATCCACAATAGTAGAAAGCTTCCTTGATTGGTTCCTGCTACAGAAAGTAACTCCTCAGTAAGTCATAAAATAGAAGTAAAAAAGATTGATAACTTTGTAGGTGTGAAATGTATAATACTAGAGGCCGAAATTCAGAATTTGGATACTACAACCTCACTTATCTTAGGCTTGTCCTAATGCTGACTTTAATTTAATATTATTTATAACACAATCCATGGAAATCTCAACTCTCAGTTAGACTGGATGCAAATACTACAAAATGGCAAGGGATCCACAATATGGTAGTACATTAGACTAACAAATATACCTGAGCTCTTAGATATAATAAACATCCTTATCTAACATATACTGCTAAGTAACTAAATAACAAAACAAAGAAAACCCTCTAAAAACAAAATTAAAAGTGAATACTTCAAAGAAAGCAATACAGTAGAAAACTGTACAAAGGGCTTGTTTTTTTATTTGTTATTAGGCACAAAGCTACACAATGGCTGTATCAGCTCTGCCAACCATGGGTATCAAAAGCTGAATTTTAGTGTTGTAAGCCATGTTGTAAGAATCATTCTCAACATATACATATACCTAAAGGTATACAAGTAAAAATACTATAATTAAAATAAAAAATGTTCAGAATACATAAAATGAACCTTTTAAACTTGGTCAGTATCTAAATAAACTCCTGATTAAATAAAGTAAATTATGTATACCTAATTGGTCAGTATCTAAATAAACTCCTGATTAAATAAAGTAAATTATGTATACGAGATAGTTAAGAGAGTGTAACATTTTACAAGATAGTAGAGTAAACCTGTTGGTGTATTAGCAGTCATGATTACTTCTTGCAAAAAGTTGATTCGATTTTATGCTTGTCCTAGTATTGCTAAAAAAGTTTGAACATCATTTGTGATGTGGATTATATGTTGAATTATTTTCACCAGATAATTCAAAAGGACTCAGGAGGGTTTACAATAGAAAGAAACATATAACAAAGAGAAGCAATGAGGCTATATACCATTAATTCCTAAACCTTTTTTTGGAAACTTTGTAAAGAAAATACAAAAACTAGTCATTTTCGTATTATTCTCTTATTAGATACCTTACACAAACAAAACATAGTAAACTAGCTATTTTCCTATTGTCCTTTTTAACTTACAAATATGAAAATGGTAAACACTTTTGTTTACCATATTTTGTTTCGTGGTTGCTGAAATAGGTAAAATTGAAGTGTCTTATATTTGCTTGATGCAAAATGAAGGATGGATCCCTTCATTTAAATCTGACTGGTGCAAAAAAAGTTCTAATATACTGGTTTGTCAAAAAGAGCAGGGATAGAGCCAAGAATATTGTCAGTTGTGTCTTTTATTCCAAAAATCAACATCTCATTATTTGTTGTGAGAATGTTAACGTTCATAACTTTGCAACTATTGTTATGGTAAGCTATATATTACAAGTCCCTTCTGCAAGTTATTAAAAACATTCTGAACCAGCATGCTGGGCTCCTCTTTTAAATGCTAAAAGCTGGTGAAAACATTAGAAATCAATAGGCCAGACGTTTTTAAAATTTCTTTTAATTTGTCCACTTTGGATTCACACCTAAGGCATCTCTCATCATTCAGCCAAACCGATGAATTATGGTATTGAAAGAAAAGCCTATTGAACAGTGATTTGTTGAAGACAAGAGATAGGTCTAAAATACTATTTTTTTATGAGCATCATTAATCACATTCTGCATTAACTTTAGCACTAACAGACATGGTCTCAGGCTATTATCAGTGTGCCCTACCAGCCTAAAAGTCTTCTGACAAACTCGAAGATCTGCTGGATCATGGTGAGCACTAGCTGTCCTGGCTGTTTGTGTCACAGCATTTTACATCAAATTTCTTCTGATGCACATATCACATCAATCTCATTGGCCATGTTTGACTTAAACCAGCACCAACGCCAGGGGGTTTCCCCCATTCACATATAACCTCATCAGTTTTGAAGACAAAGCAATAATGTGGGCATATCTCTTTCCATTGCCAGAAAAATCCTGAGTGTAAGAAAGCATGTCTTTAGTTTATATTACATTCTTGGATTGAGTGCAACTGCATCTTCCTCCTCCTCCTCCACATGGTCCTTTTTTGACCACAATTTATAAACGTTACAGTATTGGAAAATCCAACAAAACAAGAAGCAAGTTGAAAATACACTCTGCAATAACAAAAATACTTTGGTCACTGCACCAAAATGTATCTTAAAAATTAGTCTATTGTACTTAGGTACACTGATATTCATTACGTAGTTATAAGAACCTGGCAAATACAGCTTTCAGAAATGTTTTTCAGTGAGTTATATTAAGCATGAACAGCAAAGGAAGACAAATGATATAAGTGAAGAAATAAAACAAAATCTATATTCACCAGCAGTGTTCATATGATACCAATCTGTCCGGCTTTTATTCATTTGAAATGAAACTGGCTGCTGGGGCTGGAAAGAAAGCTTCCAAAAATTTCCACACAGGGCTTAGGGACCATGTCAAGAATAATTTATATCAACAAAGTACAAGGACAGACAAAAGA